GAATGGTCCTATCGGTTTGTCCGTTAAATTGATCCTGTGACTGGAGCCAGAGGCGCGCCAGCTGCGATCTAACCATCAGTGCTAGTTATCCTTAAAGAGCTGGTGCTCCTGTTGTTTATATTATTTCGATCTGTGCGAAGTACTCTTCTCGCACGGTGTTTTGTGTCGTGGTGGTTTTAGATTGTGTTGTCATTCTGTTGCGTCGTCTTGCGTTTACCGTTGTAAAATTCGACCTTTGTACACCGCCCTTGTGGCCCCAGTCCGATACCGACGAGTCGATGGGCGCAGGTGTCAACAGGCCCCCGCTGGCCTTAACAACGTGCCCCACGTTCGCCCGGGCCGAGTTAGTCGCCAGCAGTAATAAGGTGTTTCATAGCTACGGTGGAGTCGGCGTCAGCACTATATCGACGAATGTGAGCGACACGGACAGCACTACAGCCGAGGCTTCCTTTACTTTTGCTGCCATCGCTGATCTCATTGCCGCTAGCAAAACTGAAGGTCATCGATGTCTCAATGGGGACTTGCTATAGCCGACAGCATGGTATGGATATATGGAGCACCCAAAATTGAGGTACAATTCGTGCCTATCGGCCGTAACAGGAATTCTTATTTGTTGTTAACATTTATGATGACAATAATGGTGATGCTATTGTTGTTCTAACAATATGGCTCTAGATTTGAACAGACAACTTACTACAGATAATACAATGAGGTACGACTACAGATTTAGTCGACAGTGAGCCCAGCAGAAGTACCGATAGCAGCCGGTTCCTTGACAGTCTGCTCCTGATTACAAGCTGCATATTAATAACGACAGTAACAATAATAATAAAAATATGTATTTGGATCCTAACGAAGTGATTTGGATCGTAGCGCTCGCCTTCATCGTTGCTTTCTTCCTGGCGTTCGGCGTCGGCGCCAATGATGTAGCTAACTCGTTTGGAACTTCGGTGGGATCGAAGGTTCTCACCCTGAAACAGGCCTGTATACTTGCGACAATATTTGAAATTTCCGGTGCATGTCTACTCGGCTATAAGGTGTCGGATACGGTTCGGAAAGGCATCTTCGACATAGCAATATACGAGGATGACGAGAAGACCTTGATGCTAGGCAATCTAGCCGCCCTGTGTGGGTCGGCCTCGTGGAATATTATTGCTACTGCCTTCCGTCTTCCGGTTTCTGGGACTCATTCGATTGTCGGAGCCGTTGTCGGTTTTTCGCTCGTGGCTCGAGGTTTCTCCGGCATTAACTTTCGTGGTCTACTCAAGATTGTCGCATCGTGGTTTATTTCGCCAATTCTGTCGGGTATGCTTTCCGCTGCTATTTTCTACTGCTTGCGTCGTTTTATAATCTTCCGTAAAGATGCCTTAGAAAAAGGCCTTATGTTATTACCGTTTATCTACGGCTTCACGTTATTTGTAAACATATTCTCCCTTATACTGGATGGCCCACCTCTCCTACGCTTCGACGTGATTCCAATTTGGGGGGCAACAATTTTATCCTTGGCCGTTGCGTGCCTCACCGGCGCAGCCGTGCGGAAATGGTACGTCCCATGCCTTCACCGCGAAATACAGCCTGACGAAGAGCAGGTTAAGCCATTAAATCCACCGGAATCAACGTCGCAAGAGGCAAATGGTCAGGAGAAGTTAGGCGGCGTTGATGCCAATAAGAGGAAGGACGAGCAGGACACCGCCACCAAGAATGCGATGGTGTCAAACGGTGAGGTGAAGACAATTTCAGAGAGCGCCAACGCAGTATCCTTTGTAACGATGCCCCCGCCAGTAACAGACGTTAAGTCTGAGCTACTTCTTCAGCCACCGAAGGCACACATCCCGCGTTCAATGCATTCGATGGAGAAGGTTGTCTTTCATGATGTTCCTGAGGAAGAGAAGCCCGAGGTTGCTAGACTTTTCTCGTTTCTTCAGATTCTTACTGCGGTATTCGGATCCTTCGCCCATGGCGGAAACGATGTGGCCAACGCCGTCGGACCGCTAATCGCCGTCTGGCTTATCTACAAGGACGGTACTGTTCAGCAGGTGGCCCCTACGCCGTTCTGGGTACTGTTTTACGGGGGTATCGGCATTAGTGCCGGCCTATGGATTTGGGGCAAGAGGGTTATCCAGACGATTGGAAATGACCTGACGAAGGTGACGCCGACCAACGGGTTCTCAATCGAAATCGGCGCAGCGTCCACCGTGTTGCTAGCATCTAAAATGGGCATACCCATTTCTACGACTCATTGTAAGGTGGGCTCCATAGTGTTTGTGGGTTGTACGCGCAATCAACATAATGTTGACTGGATTCTGTTCCGGGGCATTGTCGCCGCATGGGTACTGACACTACCCATCACAATGGCGCTTACGGCAATCATCATGGCCATTCTACTTAAGATAGCCTAATGACGGAAAAACCTCGCGCCATACTCAATGTCTACGGAAGCTGTTATTGATTGGAAGACACCATTTTAATTCCAAAGTTCCAGCAATGCAAATCAGAGTTCAGGAGGAGCGTATTATACCATCGACGTATTATGTTATACCTAATAAACGCGTAAACAAGATCGGGCATAGGATCAGGCAAATATTTTCCTTCTCATCTGATTTACGCCATCACTAGCATGTATCCAGTGTTCAAGAGATTTTTCGGGACAGATCGCTGTGTAACAGTGGACATTCGACTCACAGAAGAAATGTCCGCAGGAAAAAAGGCAAAAGGTGCGTTCAAATAAAAAACGATAAAAAAACATTTGTTTCGTTAATTGGTCCTCTTTAATGTTCCAGATGATGGTGCTGAAGGCTAGGTTTTGAACTCAGATTTAGGCTACTGCCGCTGTTGAGCATGACTAAAACATTAAGTATATGCATTCAGGAAGCAGCACATTCGGGTCTGCATAGCCCGTCAACTGACACAAATCAGCAAGACAAAGCCTTTGAACAAGAAGCAAGCAGGAACAATAAAGAACACGTATTCAAAACACGCAGCGCGTCTAGAATAAAGAATACACACGTCAGCGGTCATAGATCATTATAGCATAGTACTATTTCTGTCAAACCTCCAGAGAACGTGGCCTCAGAAACCAGCAGATGCAGTAAAGCTCGTAAGAATATCGATAGCCCGCCCGTAAATGAGAAACATACTTCTTTGTACGCAGATATGTATGTTAAGAAAAACATTACAGTTTACTTATTTAACTAAACGAAAGAACAAGGTGACAAGTATCGCAGGCCCCATATATGTAACACGCGAAATAAGATAGTACACACAAATATTCTCACAAACAAAACGGAATAACATCTGATACAATGATCAAGACAATAAAATACAAAGACACATACTAAGTAAATAACTGTGTTGTATTAATTAGAGAGCATTGATGCAGGACGACCGGGTGGCGAGGTCGATAGTAATTATTATTTTCATATACGGAAACCAAATGTTCTATATATATATATATATATATATATAATGTTGATGACGACTGTATAGGCAAACAATGCAGAGATAAGCCATATTTCCACAAGAAAATTTGAAGGGAAATCGTGACATTGTGCCATTTTGGTGTTGGTGAAAAACTCGGAGACACGTATCGTCACTAGTGGAATATGAGTACTCAGTGAAAATTTACGGCCAAAATCATTTAGATTTCCCTTCATCAGACAAATGTTAGAAGAAACCTATGCGATGAACGCGCAATATTGATTTGATTGACTTTATGCGAAGGACCCATGCAAACAGGACAATAAGGAGCAAAAGCAAATTTGTCACCGAACGATGTTCAGATAAAGAAACAAAGGACAGAAATAGTTGTATAATAATGGCATGAGATGACGTTGCAAAATAGTAATGAGAATACACAGCGACTGTATGGCATTATAACGAAATATGAGAAATATATCGATCAACTGTGTTGTCATTTTAACGGATATGTACATGTGACCAGTGAGAAAAATATCTAAGTGATGTAATAACGATCATCACCAAAGACTCCGAATAAGTGAAAGATAATTATCATAAAACTTATTATTTTAATACTGGCCCTAATATTTCTCTTGGCATTTTAAAATGTCGAAGTATACTATTTAAACGGTATCTGCGGAATGAGGTCGTCAAACAAATTCTAATGGCGTACGGTTAGAGAAGTCTGATGGCTTCGTATCCGTACAGATTTCCTAGAGGGATTTTTACCTATTCATTAGTAGTAATTGTAAGCTCGTTAGATTCAAAGAAATTGATTAGGTTTACTGCGTTTAGCAAAATACAGTTAATACGACTTAACCGTCTTATCCTGTCTTGAAAGTAATAACGGGCCGGATCCTTCCTAGGGGCTGCACGCCTGCCTTTCAACGTAGATCCATCAGTAGGATCTGCCCTTAAAACGTAATTTACGACGAACTGACCTCATCTAGCTTCCTCGGCCTTTGTAGGAAACAACGTGAAACTAAGTGGATAGTCCTTTAAATGGATTGCTGGGTAGTTTTTTTTAATACGATCTACCGCCTCTTTCTTGACTGTTATTCTTTTATGAAATTTTGCAGGTCATGCATGATTAGTTAATTTTACTCGGCAGTGAAGAAGCGTTACGGTAAAGCTGACTGGTAAGCTCAAGTAGCGAACAAAAATGATTTCTAGCATTTCAGACAAGTGGGCTTAGATCAACAAAGACAAGAACTTACTAGGATACTTCTCAAAGGTCTACGGCCCAGATGATTTTAGCACGAGAGGGTACACATATGATGGATAGTTGACAAAAAGTTTAAAGCATCTATGAGCGAAACAATTATCATCTAGTAACCGTTATTTTGTTTTCGCCTCACCCCCAAGTCGGTCGTGGATAAGTGAGCATCTAGACTGGCGGAGTTTGTTTGTAGTGGTTACTGCGATTGTTCAGAACGCACGCGAACCACATTCGAAATCTACTTTGAAGGATTCTACTCTGAGTAAATTAAGAATCGTAAAAAACGATACTGGCACTACGTAAAGCAGAGTTTAATAGCACCTACCTGTTGAAAGTCCATTCCTATCGTTGATGAGTGCAGCATGATTGTGCACGGGTGTTTCCTGCAACAACACAATGTTAAAACGAACACCAAGGTTAATTGGCTGCTAGATTAGAACATATGATAGAAAACCGCTCACCGATCCATAACCTCCGGCTAAACTTTGCGGCCACAGTAATACAACAAGCGCACGAGTTCGGTGCGACGGAACTACAATTACAACCCCTAGGTTTGGGTCTCTATCGTAGTGCGTCCGCTTAAGTAATATCGTGCTAAAAGTGGTAACTATTCCTTTGTTTCAAGAATAGAAACTCTTGACATTCGATGACGAATGTCTCCTTAGAAAAAAAGGACACAACAATTTTTCAGATTTGATTTCGATAACAAGTGTGCTATTTTATGACCTCGCGACCCAGACTGAGCAACTCTGCGACGATTTCTTTCAGGCTCAGCTTGAGAGAGAAGAGTACTCACGCGGCACAGAATAGTTTCTTTTTCAATTTCCCTTTTCTTCTCGTTGTTGTTGTTGTGAAGGATTTGAATGCATATTGTGGACGGAAGGACTAAATCTATGTAAATATCGTTCATCAGCCCTTGTACTAGGACAACACCAGCGCCGAGTCCGAGCTGGCGGCCCCAATCGAAATTAGTAAAGATACGGGAAAAAGTGTTGCAATTTGCACAAAATATTTCGGAGTACCACGGAGACTTAACTGGGAACGGAAAATACAGTTTAATGTAATGGTAAACTGGAAACTAGGGGACTGTTATCGTACCCTGAAAACGCGCTACGGTTCAATAGCCAGAACATATCAGGATTGATACAGCAAAGACGAATAAGCACGGTGAGTTTATTCAGTAGATGCCGGATTGATGCACCTCTTATGATGCTTCATATCTAGGCATCGTTTATCATAAAAGCATTTCCCACTTTCAGGCATACCACGCACGTAGGCTGTAGAAGACGAAAATACAATATGCTGTTGTGGCAATCACTCTTTCATTCGATATTGTGCAAATTTAGTAGGAGAAAACCTAATCCCCCCACAAGCACATGATCTATCGAACACGACAAGACGAAGTGTATGGACAATGTAGTTACGAAAGTAATGCGTATCAGGACATTCCTGGATACCTGGGGAACTGATCAAGCTGGATGGGGTCGCACGGAACACCTCCATTGTGGTCGACGCCTGTAGGCCACAAATTCAAGCTTTTCACATGTACGTCATAGGTAATTGAGCTGTAACAAGTTAGGGAAGTCAGATAGGCACTTCCACTAAAATGCAATGTATTGCCAAAAGAAACCCGTAAAGGTAGGTACAAGGCCGTCAAAATTATATTGCCGTTCTTTCACTTGATTTACAAGCAAAAGGTTGTTACATCATTTACTTCATGTGGCGAAATTTCACACTTAGCTCTACCTGTATATCCATTGAAATTCAGCTGTTTCGTTCATTACAACATTATAGTTATAAGCAAGGAATCCTTACGGGTTAGCGCAATTGGACCAAGATAGGACTGATAATGAGGTGATGCGACAGGGGTAGGATTCGCGAAGGAAACTGCTTCCGCTTACATACAAAGCAATGGGCAACGAAAATCATAGGACACAAACGAGACAGTGCTGAGCATCGACGGTCAGTGATTTTGTAGGCCACCATTTTGTAGATTTTGTAGGATAATGAAAACACTAATCACATAGGGCAATTATCTATGAAACGGTGAGTTCTACAGACACAAAATATACAGGTAGGGGCGCGCTGTCAACAATATGGATTTACATGCAGGCAATTTAGCAACACGAAGCTCTCTCCCTTGAACAAAGACCTGTGACGAAGAGAACGACTTCAAAAGGCTTCGCTCACTAACAGCACGACGTAACTTAGCTTCCTTTTGACGTAACGTGGTGAAGTCTTTGTATCGCAGCTTCGCCTAATCATGCATTGTTGAAACGCACTCCACCAAATAATCGATGCAAACCGCCTGCGGTGTGTCCGTTATGAAAGGATCCGGTTGCGTGACGAAGGCTCGATGTATTAGGCCACTGTGGACTCGGCCTACACTTCCGCGTGACATAGACAAGCAGCTTAGAAAGAAGCTAGAGCTACGCAGTCCCATGGACGTCGAGGCAGTCTATAACTAGCCTACTAATGTTCTGCAACGGATCTTCTTCAGGATTTTGTGTTTTTAGCGTTACTTGTATTTGTGACGATTGTCCGGTGATGTGTAGAACCTCCTGCTGTGGTAACGGCCATGGAGGAGGAGCCTGAATCGCTCCATCCTTCTAGCAGATGCTATTGGTAAAGGTCTGACAGCATGCTCCATTCGTGCGGTAATACAGAGGATAATAGGGGGACAGCATCGAAATCGCGCTATTAGCATTCTGTAGTTGTAATAACTCTCACTATCGAGATATCCATGCCAAACGTCAAAGCCAAAACATTTTCAATAGGTTTTCTATCGATGGTTTTTAATGTATAGCATCCTCTAGATCGTACCCTTATCTAACTTATGTATATCAATTTTAGATAATTTAAGAATAAACATACCTAAAAGCATGCCTAGAATAAACTACGGTGAAAAACGTTTGTCTTATGCAAAAAAATCTTACTGGAATAACCAACTGTTATCGCCATTTACTAACGTTTTTAGCCCAGCTAAAGGCTAGGGTAAATTTCGGATCAACTCGATTATTCCCAAGCATGTCGCTGTATATATATATATATATATATATGCCGCTGATGAAAAGTATAGGATGTCTAAAAATATAGAATAAATAGAGACATGAAAATTTTCATTGTCACTGATTTACCATTAACGTACCCATGTTATATGGAACATCGGAGTGTTCTGTTTTCATTTTACCCATCATATCGTATCACAAATACTGCAGAAGCCTTTCCACTGTTTTCAGTGGCCTTATAAAGCCAAATTTAAAGGCTTTCGAAAAAGCGGCACAAACTCACCATGAGAGCGCCGTCGCAGCCTGACACTCTGAATGAAAACATGAGTGCCACAGTGATAAATAGTGGCGAAATAGTGCCTCTCGAGCTCGCTAATTCAATGTAAACATGTTTCTTCTAGACGCTTTGATTCGTATAGGCTATGTTTATGGGTCAGTAGTTGCCAGTGCTGCCGCTGTAACGAGTCAACGGATGTTGCCTTCGCGCTAAGTTAACTTCCACATGATCAAATAGAAAAAATGGCAGAAGGACACACTCTGCATCGAAGATCCTGCGGGGAAAGAAAAGCGATTTGATAGTATTCCTACTGAATGTAGAGCGCAGAGCCTCACGTTCTCCCCGCTGCCAAAATCAATATTGATATTTGACGTACTTGGCATCATTGCCGTCCTTCTGCCTTCGACTATTTCCCTTTAGTTATCTGTATCCATCAGAGCTAAATCAGAGGGAACTTTAGGCGAAAAACGTGTAAATTAAATTGGCCGTATAGCACCGATACACGTACATGTGAAATGATTCATAGTGAAAGTAATCGATTTGAGGAAATCAAACGAGAAAGAAGAATCTTCTTAATTCAAATTTCATGTTTCCCTCATTGGTTCAAAATGACGAGCTTATTCCTTAAGTACGGAAAGCTGCTCCTTAATCAAGAGGTTACTGAGTAGTCGATGAATGCACGTAACGTTCCAGTACTGATAGAACGCTTCGATAGATAGCAACATACGACATTCGGCAATTTCTCCCCATTCCGCAGTCCTAGTTTTACTGATACTATCGAGTCTTTGCGATTAGGGATGAACTAGTCTATTTCATAGTATCTTTCTCAATATTTCCTAAACGAGTGGTTTTTAAAATTGATTACTAGAGAAACAGGTAATTATTATTATTATTATAATTGCAAGTATATCTCTTGGGCCTAATAACTAACATGTCGGCTAAGAATCTTAACGTCGTCCAAATCTTTGTTGATATAAATAAGTTAAGTAGAGAAATATTCGCAAAACAACGCTATCTCTGATAAAATTGTGTTTCCGAACTCCCTGCACCTAAGGGTATGACCATGATCTTGATCAGTCCACACAGGATGTACGTATTTTACATGGTACAGCCAATCGCCCCCAGGGCTAGCCAGCGATAATGATTTCAAATCCGTTAGTGAATTTAATAATGGTATTCAGATCGAATATTATCGACACTATTTCTAAGATAATCTGTAGCGTGCTTGTTTATCTGATATCTGACAATTTTATTAGGCTTCTGCTTAAGCTAACCATTGTCAACAAAGGCCTCGCGCGGAAGGCATGCATCGTGCAGGCGGGTGCAATAGTGGTTACGTAAAACTTCTCACCGGGTCCTCTCCAATTCTCTAAATATATAAGTAAGGCAGCTGGGTTATGCCTATGTGTAAATCATGCTAACCAGCCATCAAGAATCTTTAGTACTAGCAATTCTAGTTCGATTAACCGGTCCTTGATGCCAACAAAGACATCAATACTATGCATTGGTAATACAATTATAACGCCAATACAGTTCGTTGAAGACGAACGAACCGAAACGAAACGAAACGTGCACGATTTCAATAGATTCAATGGCATAATGAACAAAGTTAGCGTTATAAATCCTTTGTAATTCATAGAAATTACACGATCGCGCGTTTGTCGTAAGGATTTTCAACTACTTTTTTAGATTTTTATTTCCATAGCCATCCATAGATTTCCAATCGCATTCAGAGGTGTTTAAGCACAGCATTGGTGTCATGCATTCGTGGACCTGCAGGCACAACGCTACACAATCGCAGGTATAAAACACTCTCTTCTGTGCACGTATTGGTCCTGTGCACAAGTTACAACCTCACCACATGACGCTCGATGCTTCATGTATATATATATATATATGGTGTCAAAAAACGTATACGCTGTTTAGCGGTTTTTGAATATTTTTTTTTTAGGGTGTAATACATTAGAAATAATAATAAGTGGACCATTAATTTTTAAACCAAAATAGTTTATCGGAAAATGATACTAGAAGTATAGAAATATAGCAGGAGTACGCGACAGTTAATCGGATAAAGGATGGACAGAACTGTTCAAGGTGT